ACCTCCACCCCACCTCCCTCCCTTTACCTCCTCCCCCCCAACCTCCCTTTACCTCCCCCCAAACCCTTCTCCCACCCACAGCTTTATTACACAGCCGGCATCCTTCAGAGAAGACAAAGTCCGGGAGATTGTTTACATGGAGTCGCTGTAACAGCCTCGGCGGCAGCAAAGGGTTAAAGTTACACTCCGGCTACAACCGTCTCCATTTGGGATGAAGCGACTCCACATGGAGGATGTACACCACGCACCGCATCTGTCACACGCCAGGGAGGATTTCCTCTCACTTCCTGCCCGGGGAAATCTCTCCAAGAGGATACAGCGGGGGAAGGGTGAGAACTAGTTGCCTGTCTTCCTGTTCTGGTGACAACCACTCCACCCATTTTATGGGTCAGTGTCACCGAGACAGGAAGCGTGAGGGAGGATTTCCCCACCTGACAGGAAATGTAACCGTCACCTGCACCATCAAAAAAGAAACTCTTAAAGAGGATCTCCGGCCATTATCCAACACCATCAAATACACTTCTGTATTCCGAAATCCACTTCCTGTACCGTCACCCAAATCTGCAAATGCTGAAATCAGACTAAGAGGGAGTGGCTGGGGGGTGAGGCAATAAGTGGGATCACAGGCAGGGGAGGGGCCCAGGGGGAGGTACTTAGTTGGAATCACAGGCAGGGGAGGGGCCGAGGGGGAGGTACTTAGTTGGAATCACACGCAGGGGAGGGGCCCAGGGGGAGGTACTTAGTTGGAATCACAGGCAGGGGAGGGGCCGAGGGGGAGGTACTTAGTTGGAATCACACGCAGGGGAGGGGCCCAGGGGTGATAACATTCACTAGCAGGGGGTGGGACAGTGACACAGATTCTGTAGGCCCTGACTAGTGTTGTCACTCTGGGTGCAGTCACATGGCAGGATGGGGGAGGGGGAACATGTACACACCTCCAGGCAGGTTGAGTAGCTCCTCTAGGGGGCGTCCTGATAAGCGGAAGACACAGCAAACGCCATAAACAAGAGACAATATTCCGGGTTTATTCAACAAAAGAGAATTTCGGGCGGATTGTGAACAGCCAAAAGTATAAAAGAAAAATATTCCGTCAGCTAAAAACAGGATTAACCCTTCCACCGCCGGGGCACGTCACTCCCATTCCCTAAAACCAAAAATGGCGGCAGGTCATGTGATGGCTGCGAGTCCACAGCCGGCATCCAGACTCCTCTCAGCAGGTCTGTGCTCAGGATTTCCTTGTAGGAGGAGTCACCAAGGAAATCCTGACACCGGGGGTGGGGGAAGGTCCACATGAGAGTGTACATTGGATGACATAATGCTCCACCCTCGTTATAAGCTCCACCCAGAAAGGGGTGACAGGTGGTAATTTGAATAGAGGGAAGGGGGGTGGTTACCTTCGGCCCATCTGAGATCTGTGGCTCCTCCCTCACATGCAGGTTAGGAGCTGCTGGACTTGACGAACTGCATTTTGTAGTTGCACTTGCTGGTTTTGCGCTCAGGGGCGGCGTTCTTATCGCTGGGCGCTTTGTTCGAGGTCTTGGCCTCCACGGGTTTGGCTTCCGAGGTCTTGGCCTCCGCGGGTTTGGCTTCCGAGGTCTTGGCCTCCGCTCTCGCCTTTTTTTTGCGGTTCTTAGAGCTTTCTTTGCTACTTGAATCTGAATGTCCATCTGCTCCAGGGGCCTCTTCTGGTGGGGGAGGGGGAGGCGGCAGCGGCATCTCCTCTGAACTGCTCGGCTGTAAAGGAGAGAAACAATCAGAGATTCAGCTAGTTGTGTCATTTCCACACAGCCGGCCAATGACACGTGTTTCCCGGTTTAGCAAAGCCCTCCCCCGCCTGTGATCACTCCTAAGCACCTTTCCTTCAACTGATCCCAGCTAAGCACCTCCCCCTAGGACCTCTCCTTCAACTGATCCCAGCTAAGCACCTCCACCTAGGACCCCTCCTTCAACTGATCCCAGCTAAGCACCTCCCCCTAGGACCTCTCCTTCAACTGATCCCAGCTAAGCACCTCCCCCTAGGACCTCTCCTTCAACTGATCCCAGCTAAGCACCTCCCCCTAGGACCTCTCCTTCAAGTAACCCCAGCTAAGCACCTCCCCCTAGGATCTCTCCTTCAAGTGATCCCAGATAAGCACCTCCCCTGCCTGAGATGACTCATAAGCACCTCCCCCTAGGACCTCTCCTTCAAGTGATCCCAGCTAAGCACCTCCACTAGGCCCTCTCCTTCAAGTGATCCCAGCTAAGCACCTCCCCCTAGGACCTCTCCTTCAACTGATCCCAGCTAAGCACCTTCCCCTAGGACAGTGGTTCTCAACCTTTCTAGGACCCCCCTTGGTAACATTTGCCAAGTTGTGGTGACCCCCAACGGTAAAATTTAGGGATGACGCGGCTGCTGCAGCGACATCTGGCGGCGTGGCGGGAGAACCGACACTGCTGCGCTAGGAGAGGGCTGAGGAGGACTCTCACCTTGCACAGCGACCCCGCAGGGTGAGAACCGCTGCTATAGGCAAAGACCGGACCGGGCTCTGCAGCTGGAACTAGAAGAATTGGATTTAAAGTGTGCGGCTATATAACGTATGAGGTGCATACTCCGCGGTACTGTCAGTGATAGGGATCGCTGCTCCACGTGCCGAGCCCGCCAGGAAGCTGACAGCGCGCAGTGCCAATCCCAGGTACTGAGACATTATCCGATCTCTGCAGCTGCGGACCGGGAACATGGAATGCGTAGCTAGGAGGTGCGTCTTACATATTTTTTTTGCTTGAATACATATTGCACCCGCCCTCTGCTGCTGTCAATCAGTAGAAGGGGACCTGATGGAGAACTGCAGGTTCCCCTCTGCTGATTGGCAGCATCAGAGGGAGGGTGCAATAGCTAGTTTGCCATTGGCTTTTGCAAAGTGAAATAGCCAATAGGAATCTAGCTATGGTGGGGGGTTTCTGACTTACGGCGGCCCCCCGATTTAAAAAAAAAAGAGCAGAGAAAGGTCCCGACCTTTCCGGGAGAAAGTGTTTCTCTCCCGGCGGCCCAGAGCCACTAGGCGACCCCTGGCAAATCGTCAGTCGACCCCCGAGGGGGTCCCGACCCACAGGTTGAGAACCACTGCCCTAG